AGAAGGAGAAGTCTGTGGAAAATTTAGCTTTAGTAATTGCTGTTTAAAGATTGATAAAAAGGGTGTTTCTTCCTAGTAGCTGATAGAATGTTATGTTCTGGTTTAGGATGAGAAGAATGTTAATAATATGCTGATGTTTTAATTGTTTTTAATTGTTACAGAGCAGTGCTTACACCAAGCCAAGGACCAAGCCAAATTCAGCTTCTCACTGTCCTGCCAGCAGGCAGGCTGGGAGGAGGGCCGGACTGCTCGGGGTTAGGCTGGGCATCGGACAGCAGGTGGTGAGCAATTGCATTGTGCATCACTTGTTTCGTATACATTATTACTAGTAGTAATATCATCATCATTATTATTGTTGTTATTATCTTCTTGTTTTTATCTCAACTCACAGGCTTCACTTTCCCATTTCTCTCTCCCATCCCAGAGAAGGAGGGGGGGAGGTGAGCGAGCAAACACAAACCTGGAAGGATATGGAATGGGATTTATTTTCATGGCTGCCTGGTGGACCATGGGTTAAAAGAGTGTTATTTGTATTGTTATGTGGTGTAATGACGTTATTATTTGTACCTTGTATGATACCTTGTCTTACATTATTAATACACCGGGTGATAAATGTACATTGGTAATAACTTCATTAAAAAAGGAAGGGAATATGTCAATTATGATGTTTAAGAATTGGACCCTCCAAGAACAAACTGATGAAATCCAATTATTAATAACAGAAGAGACACGAATTGGGGATATTAAAAAGAAGATAAGGGATAGTGAGGAATGTTTTAACAATTCGTGTCCATAAAGAACAATTCTGTTTGAATCCTGTCTGCCTCTGGGTCCTGCACTGGCAATTTAATTCTTGAACCACAGATGCAGTGTGTCCCAGTCTCCCCCTCATTCTAGTCAATTTATCAAGTCTTCAGAAAATACTCCTTAAATTTATGAACCTGTTTGCCTTTGTTATTCCGGACTTCTATTTCTAAAAGTTACAGCCTTTTTTTTCCTGTCTTCTTCGAGATTAACTTAACACTGCTATAGATGTGACTGTCCCTGTGAATGGCTGGGGAAGAACGTTTTAATTACTCATGAGGCGTCAATAAGAAAGCTGTTTGTGTTTGATGTCTGGGAGTTTCAGAACAACTGATAATAACTAGTGACTGTTATGGGATACTATGCGGATCTTTGGTATCTGGCCAGGGGGGCAAGAGATTAAGAGGAAGGAAGAAGAAGCTGAAGGACAGCTGGGAGACAAGACCTGCAGAAAATGTTCTATAAACTTGGTATGGTGCCAAGTGAGTACAAAGGTGAGAGGAAGACTACGAGCCTTCAGCATGAAAGACCCCTAGAGACCCCCAGAGGAGACTGATGCGCATGTTCCAGTAGGAGGGACTGGACCCCGGAAGCTAATTATAATAACCTGTTTTTTTTAGAAGTAGTAATGAATATGTATTAGTCTAGGAGCATAAAAATCAGCTGCTTGATGTAACTGGTGTGCGTCCTGGTGGAGCGGAGACTCCCGGTGCACCCAGCGCTGTTTGCTTACCTCTATTCCTTTATATTCTTTTAATAAATCCTATTTTTTTATTTAATCCTAATTTGAATCCTGAGCCATTTATAACAGAAGTATAAGGCTTTAGTATATACCGGTGCACAATGTACTATAATGCCATCAAGCTATAAAGGGCCAGAGCCCATCTGTATTTATGGAGTGACAAGCGGATCCCAGCAGTAGACTGAATTGGAGGCTGAAGTGAGTCTGACTGGGAATGAGTGTCAAAAGCACCCTATTGTGACTGGCCCGGATGCTCTGTGCATCCTTGGTATAGACTACCTCAGGAGAGGATATTTCAAGGACCCAAAAGGGTTCCGGTGGGCTTTTGGCATAGCTGCCTTAGAGTGATTCAAAGATCGAAGCCGAAATTCCTTTAAGTGGTATATTCTTTATTGCAGCGCTGGATGCACGGGGGATCTCTCCACCTATCGTGCATACCCAAAGCGGAAAGCAGTCTTGAATTTATACAATCAATCTATCAATATTCTACAAGCGCCTATACATACGCATTACCTATCCCCGCCTTCCCTCGCTTCTCATGCTAATTAGCCTTTTGGCACCTTGCGCCTGCGTAGAGCCTCCCAAGAATTGTGGGCAGGGGTCTTTGGGACGTGGGCAGGGGTCTTTGGGAGGAAGACCCCGAGTCTTCCTCACAGTGTACTTTTCACCTTTGGTCAGGAATCTGCTGAATTGGCACGTTTCTTAATTGCGAGAGCTGGTTGTTGCCAATTCTTCCGTTTGTTGTATCTTTATAATGAATTCCAATGTCCAGTTTTGAGATTTATAGTCCTTACATTTGTTTCTCTGTCCGTCTGCCGCTTCCTTATCATGAGTTCCAGTGTCTTGTTTCGAGATATACAGTCCATGTCTGGGGATTGTCCTTGCCTCCCCAATACCTCCCCAATACCTCCTTAATCAGAGACAGAGGGCATTAAACAGTTGTCTACCTTGCCCAGTCTCTCGGAGGACCCTTCTGTTGTGGGGTTGCTGAGGGTCGAAGAACAGCAAGAGCCAATCGCTACCACAGCTGTGCACCGATGAAAATACTACACTAACCAAGACTCCCTGATTCCCATCCATAAGCTAATTCGTCAATTGGAGAGCCAAGGAGTGATCATCAAGACTCATTCACCTTTCAATAGTCCCATATGGCCAGTGCGAAAGTTTAAGGGTGAGTGGAGACTAACAGTGGACTATCGTGGCCTGAACAAAGTCACGCCACCACTGAGTGCTGCAGTGCCAGACATGCTAGAACTCCAGTACAAACTGGAATCAAAGGCAGCCAAGTGGTACGCCACAATTGATATCGCTAATGCATTTTTCTCCATCCCTCTAGCAGAAGAGTGCAGGCCACAATTTGCTTTAACTTGGAGAGGAGTCCAGTACAGCTGGAATTGGCTGCCCCAGGTGTGGAAACACAGCCCTACCATTTGCCATGGACTGATCCAGTCTGCACTGGAGCGGAGGGAAGGCCGCTTTCAAGTCCTCGCTCTGTCCTGCCAGCGGGCAGACTAGGGGTGCAGCAGGAGCTGGAAGGGGACAGACCCAGGACAGCTGACCCAAACTGGCCAAAGGGGTATTCCATACCATCTGACGTCATTCTAAATAATATGTAGGGGTGGCTAGCTGGGGTGGGGGGGCAGTCTGCTCTGGGATAAGCTGGGCATCGGTCAGTGTGTGATGAACAATTGCATTGTGCATCACTTGTTTCGTACGCATTATTAGTAGTAGTACTATTATCATTATTATTACTGTTATTATTATTTTTCTGTCTTAATAAACTGTCTTTATCTCAACTCACAGGCTTCACTTTCCCATTTCTCTCCCCCATCCCAGACAGGGAGGGGGGAGGGTGAGCAAACAGCTGTGTGGTGCCAGCCGGATTAAACCACAACAATACTGAAGGACTATAAAAGAATTATTTTCACTCCATCTATAGATACTGATTTGTGATGTTCATTAAGAAGCTACCATACTGAAACACCAGCAGTTCTGAGTTTATGAAATGGAGGAGGGTTTTTTTGTTTGTGTTTAAGTCAGGTTTTTGTCTTCAGAAGTGCTCAATTTGATTCCAGAGAAAGGTTGAAAAGTAATAAATTTTGTACTTTCTCAGTATTTGCAATAAGCTACACCTAAATGGCATATCTACAAACACAATATTGTTTTTAAATAACAGAAAACATCTCATTTATTTGAATTTTTAAAAGCTAAATAATTGCATCTGCCTAGCTGTTTTAAGAGTATATCCCCAAAACATTATACCATTATTTAGCCTTTTGTCAGGTTTATGCATTATCACTTTCTTGAGTATGTAAACAGCTGCAAGTTTGGGTTTATTCTTTTTTTTTTCTTTCTTTTTGATGGAACTAAAGACAACAGGGAAAATAATAGCTAGCCTAAGAAGTCATTCCTTCTCATGTCTTGTACAGTGTGCCCCAGTGACTAGAACAGAGCCAATAACAGAGCCAATAACACAGCTGTTATCTCCCTACAAGCAGGGAAATTAATAAACTGGAAGATTTCAAGTGTCTTTAACAGTTTGAGGAAAGAAACACTTTCACTTTCATATTACTACACCAACTTCACATTTAAATTTCCTGAGAGAGCAAAATGCAAAGGACTTGAATTATAACTTTTATACTCTGAACTATTAATAAAGTCTTAGAAAACTAGCATCTTGTTAATGCATTAGAAGCCTGCCTCTACCTTGCAGTTAGCAAAATCATACTGGGCTTCTGTTGATTTTGAACATGGATGTTTCCATTCCATTCAGTGGTTATCATGCAAGCACAGTAGTAAGATTCATTTTCTTATTTCACTATACAAATTAGTAAGAATACAAGCACGAACAGCTTTCACAGGTATCTATACCACTTTTACATCTACTAAATTGATGCAATCAGATTCATTTTAATGATCTTATTCCTTCTAACTTCCTAAAAATCTCAGATGGATGTCCTAATTTATTTATGGGACCTGCTGTAAAGCAGATTTCTTTAGAGCCTTCTTCGCTATATTGAAAAATTCACGTGTTTTTATATCCTCTTAAGGCTCCAGAGGAGTTAAAACGAGCCTTCACTGCTCTGAAGTTTCACCTTGTCACACTGAGCTTAAAATAGTCGTTTTCATTACTGATCATCCCCAAAAGACCAGGGGAAGGTCCTCATGGAATCTGGAAGCCAGGCAGCTCTTCCAGCAATCCGATGTGGCTACGGCGGAAGCAAACCTCTGCAGATCGCGGTGCGCCCCTCACAGAGCACACTGCCTTGCTTTCATCGGGTTTATATACAGCATCTATCGCAGCAGGATTCCTACTCCTTGTGCACCCCGCCAGTAAAACCACTCGCCTCCGTGCGCATTCAGCAACACCCGCTAGAACAGCAGCAGCTCGCTCGGGCAAACGCTTCTACCCCCCACCCCAGCACCAGCCCGGCGTCCCCTGCGAGATCCTTACCCCATGGCGGCCGGTGGCGCCGCGTCTCCGGGATGCTCCTCGCTGCGCCTCGTCTCGCCTGCCGCTCTGCTGTGGCCGCGCTGGCGGCTTGCAATTGCCGGGCCGAGCAGGGCCGCTCGCACCCTAGAGAACACCTCCCACAGGCTGGGCTTTCATAGCCGCGGGCCCCGCCAGGCACCCACAGACGTCGGCTCCAGCCCCCGGGCGGGTGGCGGCGGTTCCGGAGGCAGACGGATCCCCTCCTGCAGGCAGATGGGGAGACGCTTGCCTTCTCCTCGAGGGGCTGGCGGCTGCTGCGACGCTTCTGGCTGGAAGGTGAGCGGCCGCCGAGGGCTCCGTGCGCCTCAGAGGAGCGGGATGAGGCAGACAGGGAGCGCAGGGCTCCGCGCCGCCGCTTCCCCTAGCACTCCCACCGGCAACGTGGCGGGCATCGACGCATTTTCCTGAGGAAGCAGAGTAAGCCGCGGCACCGGGGCTGGCATCTGGCTCCCAGCGTGCGGCAGCTAGAGGCATACAGTGGCCGCAAGTCCCCCCTGGGCACAGGGGCGCCGCTCTCCCCCGATCCGCCCCCCCCTTTTCCCCCCCAACTCCCCCCGGCTGCTGAGATGCGGAGCGCCGCTCTTCCTTCCTGCAGCGGCGGATTCGCTCCTCGCCGTCACGCCTTCTGCGGCGAGCGGGCGGGCATTGTCCTAGGCGCGCGGTGTGTCGGTCACTGCCAGCAGTAGGGGCCGCCGTCGAGCCCGTACTCCTCTGCGGCAGGGCCGCAGGCTCAGTCCCACTGGCGAGACAGAGCTAGCGTAGCGTCAGATGGTTTCCAGCTACAACGGCACCTCCGAGCCGCTAATTTACCCGTTCGCATCCCCTTCCCCCGCCTCACACCTCCGCCACCACCCGCCCGTCCCCTCGTAGTAGGCAGACGCAACCGTCGTGCACAGCCCGGGGAGGGGAGGGCTGCACGCCATCAACCTGCTGCTACACGTAACAGCACCTCATCTCTCTGCCTCCATCGTCCACCCGGGGAGCTTTAAATAGTACATGTCACCGCGCTTCCGTACGCACTAACGTCACTCATTGCTTCTGGCGCTGATGTCACTTGGGCGTGGACGACGACGTTAGTGTTCCACGCAGCTAGAAGCGCTTCTATAATAAGGAATGACGACGGGGGGAAGAGTAGGCGGTAGGGTTTGGGGTTTGTCACCGTTCAGCAGTCTCTCGTGCGTTTTCCCCGGGCGCTGGTGGCTCCAGGATTGTTTCCTCTTTAATATCTTCATCGATGATCTGTGTTATAAGTTGCCCCTTAATTAATTTTTAGAGGGCATTGTATTAATCATATAAAAGAATTTATTGAGTAAGCAAACAGCAAGCAAAACAACGCTGGGCGGCCGGGGAGTATCTGCTCCGCCAACGGCACGCACCTCACCCCCTCCAGGTGTAGTGGGTTTACGTGGCAAGGTTTTGGTAGCAGGGAGCCATAGGGGTGGTTTCTATGAGAAAGAGCTAGAAGCTGCCCCATGTTTGGGAAGGGCCCCATTGTTTTCCAGATCTGAGCCAATAAGCGATGTTGTTTTGCGCCTCTGTGAGAGCATATTTAAGACAGGAAAAAAACGCTGCGCTACACAGCAGCTGGGAGAGTGAAGGGAGTGAGGAACGGCATCAAGGTCAGTGTAGAAGGAGGGGAAGAGGTGCTCCAGGCGCCGGAGCAGAAGTCCCCTGCGGCCTGTGGTGAGGACCATGGTGAAGCAGGATGTCCCCCTGCAGCCCATGGAGTACCATGGTGGAGCAGGGTTCCATGCTGCAGCCCGTGGAGGAGACCACGGTGGAGCAGGTGGCCCTGCACCGACGGAGGCTGCCGCCTGTGGAAGACCCCTGCCGGAGCAGATTCCAGGCCAGACCTGTAGCCCGTGGAGAGGAGCCCACGCAGGAGCAGGTGACCTGGCAGGAGCTGCTGCCCGTGGGGGAGCCAGGTTGGAGCAGTTTTCTCCTGAGGGATGGACCCCGTGGTACAGAATTTCTAGGTTGGAAGAGACCTCAAGATCATCGAGTCCAACCTCTAACCTAACACTAACAGTCCCCACTAAACCATATCCCTAAGCTCTACATCTAAACGTCTTTTGAAGACTTCCAGGGATAAGACCCATATTTGGAGCAGTTCTGGAAGAGCTGCTGCCTGTGGGAAGCCCACACCGGATCAGTTCATCAAGGACTGTATCCCGTGGGTGGGACCCCACAGCACAGGGGACGAGAGTGACCGAGAAGGAGCAGCAGAGAAGAAGTGCTGTAGACTGACCATAACCCCCATTTCCCTGTTCCCCTGCGCCGCTTGGGGGGAGGAGGTGGAAGAGGGTGGATGGGGGGAAGGTGCTTTTGTTTTTTTTCCTTCTCTCGCTTGTTAGTAATAGGCAATAAATCTTACTATCTCCTTATGCTGAGTCTGTTTTGCCCGTTACAATAATTATTGCATGATTTTCTCGTCCTTATCTCAACCCTTGAGCCCTTTTCACATATTTTCTCCCCATTCCTCTTTGAGGAGGGGGAGTGAGAGAGCGGCTGTGGTGGAGCTCGGCTGCCCACTCGAGCGGAACCACGACACCAGGGTCCCTTTTTATATCTTGGTAATTCCGGGATTATGTAGCACATCCAGGTATGTTCTGCAGCTGCGCGCACTGTTGCTAGGGGGTTGTCCCAGTCTTTCTGGTGGTCATGAAGATGAACGCCATAGTCTTCCTCTGCATTGTGGCTCGACTCCCTTTCCTCACTAGGTCATGTTGACCCAGCATGAAGCAGGAAGGCAGAACATTATCATGCTGGTTCAGCAGCTTATCAGGAATGGTTACAGGAGCTTTGCAACAGTGACTTTAAACGAAAGATGGAACTAGGATGCAAGGGGGGAGAAGGGGAGGAAACTCCCTCCCCCTTACCAGTTTAAGGGCCCTATCTTGTTACATTAAGTAAAGGAATTTCAGGCATTTTACAGTTTCTTATCTCAGCAGGAGACCTTTACTACCCCCACTTCTTCAAGCAGGACTCCTTCTCCTTATAATACAAAAGACAACAAACATTTATTGTATATTACAATCTGGATGAGGGCATTGAGTGCACCCTCAGTAAGTTTGCAGATGACACCAAGTTAGGTGCGTGTGTCGATCTGCTCGAGGGTAGGAAGGCTCTGCAGGAGGATCTGGATAGGCTGGACTGATGGGCTGAGGTCAACTGCATGAAGTTTAACAAGGCCAAGTGCCGGGTCCTGCATCTGGGGCGCAACAACCCCAAGCAGAGCTACAGACTGGGAGATGAGTGGTTGGAAAGCTGCCAGGCAGAGAAGGACCTGGGAGTGATGGTTGATAGTCGGCTGAATATGAGCCAGCAGCATGCTCAGGTGGCCAAGAAGGCCAACGGCATCCTGGCTTGCATAAGAAACAGTGTGGCCAGCAGGACTAGGGAAGTGATCGTCCCCCTGTACTCAGCTCTGGTGAGGCCGCACCTCCAGTACTGTGTTCACTTTTGGGCCCCTCGCTACAAGAAGGACATCGAGGTGCTTGAGCGGGTCCAGAGAAGGGCGTCGAAGCTGGTGAGGGGCCTGGAGAACAAGTCCTACGAGGAGCAGCTGAGGGAGCTGGGCTTGTTCAGCCTGGAGAAAAGGAGGCTCAGGGGCGACCTTATCGCTCTCTACAGGTACCTTAAAGGAGGCTGTAGCGAGGTGGGGGTTGGTCTGTTCTCCCACGTGCCTGGTGACAGGACGAGGGGGAATGGGCTAAAGTTGCGCCAGGGGAGTTTTAGGTTGGATCTTAGGAAGAACTTCTTTACCGAAAGGGTTGTTAGACATTGGAACAGGCTGCCCAGGGAGGTGGTGGAGTCACCATCCCTGGAAGTCTTCAAAAGACGTTTAGATGTAGAGCTTAGGGATATGGTTTAGTGGGGACTGTTAGTGTTAGGTCAGAGGTTGGACTTGATGATCTTGAGGTCTCTTCCAACCTAGAAATTCTGTGATTCTGTGATTCTGTGATTCTCTCATCACCACCCCAACCCCTGAGGTACCGTCTCCATGGCAGCGCCGTGCCCTCCCTGGAGGGCCCTCACACTGTGGTTTGCTAAGAGGAGTCGAGTGTGAGTTCTTCTGCGCCATGAGACATGGATAAAGAGAGGGCCGAGCCCACCTTGGAATGTTGTTGCAAAAAACTTTCAAGCCCGCTGCTCCTGGCTTGGGAATGGCAGGGCACCACTCTCTGAAAGTCCCATTTCTGAGGAACATGCCTCATGCCTGCTTCAAAGTGCTTTGCAAATGTTTCAAGCCCAACAGCATTACTGGTAACAGAAACACAGCAGCCATTCCAAAAATGCAAAAATGTAGATGACATCACGTCCATGCTAGTAGGATTGCAAAGAAACAAGGCAAGTACTGTCAGCTTGCCAATTCCAGCTATTTTTGGGTCAGAGCTTCAATTCCATTGTTCAGGCCAGAACGAATACACTTCATGAAACAGTATGGAAGCTGCACAGCCATGAATTCTAGTAAATTTGTGGCTCTACAGAGGAGATCTTACCAACACCATATCCTTCTATGACCATTAGGAGTAATGGTGGATGAAGGAGACTGTTGAAGTAGTCTACTTTTGCTTCAGCAAAGCTTTAACATGGTATCCCATGGTATTCTCCTGGAGAAGCTGGAAGCCCATGGCTTGGACAGGGACACTCTTTGCTGGGTTAAAAACTGGCTGGAAGGCCTGGCCCAGACAGTGGTGATGAATGGCATTAAATCCAGCTGTCGACCGGTCACGAGTGGTGTTCCCCAGGGGTTGGTGTTGGGGCCCATCCTCTTTAATATCTTTATTGATGATTTGGATGAGGGAATTGAGCGCACCCTCAGTAAGCATGCAGATGACACCAAGTTGCGGGGAAGTGTTGATCTGCCAGAGGGCAGGAAGCCCCTGCAGAGGGACCTGGACAGGCTGGATCGATGGACAGAGGCCAATGGGATGAGGGTCAACGTGGCTAAGTGCCAGGTCCGGCACTTTGGTCACAACAACCCCATGCAACGCTACAGGCTTGGGGCAGAGTGGCTAGAAAGCTGTACAGAGGAAAAGGATCCAGGGGTGTTGGTCGACGCTCGTCTGAACATGAGCTGGCAGTTTGCCCAGGTGGCCAAGAAGGCCATCGGCATCCTGGCTTCTATCAGGAATAGTGTAACCAGCAGGACCAGGGAGGTGATCGTCTCCTTGTATTCTGCTCTGGTGAGGCCACACCTCGAGTACTGTGTTCACTTTTGGGCCACTCACTACAAGAATGACATCAAGGCCCAGGAGTGTGTCCAGAGAAGGCCTACAAAGCTGGTGAAGGGCCTGGAACACAAGTTCTATGAGGAGCAGCTGAGGGAACTGGGGTTGTTTAGTCTGGAGAAGAGGAGGCTGAGGGGGAGACCTTATCACTCTCTACAACTACCTGAAAGGCAGTTGTGGGGAACTGGGGGTTGGCCTCTTCTCACAGATAACTAGTGATAGGACTAGAGGGATTGGCCTCAAGTTGCACCAGGGGAGGTTTAGGTTGGAAATTAGAA